TATTGGTTTCACCTTTTGAGTTGCCATACTGACATAAATGAACATTTGCACGATATTCGAATTTTTTGAGTTTCACCTGTAATCTGATGACCACCTGCGAAGAAATGGGCACAGAGGAACAAACAAACAAATTCCATCCCAAAATCCAGAGAAGAACTAAAAACTAAGAAAATCCAGATAATTTTGAACCATCATCTATCCTCCTTTGGCCTTTGACTTACCATGAAATCCAGTAAAACTCTAGTTCTAGCTACTACCAGCGCTGACCACTTCAAGGCTCACAGAGTAAAAGTCTTTAAACTTAAGAACTAAGTACTCTCAAATAAGACAGATTCCAGCTAACCTAATACCGAGCCATCCTGACTAAATATGGCGAGTAATATTCAGAATTTCTGAGAGGTTCAGAGAAATTCAGAGTTTGGTCTAGTGGTTAAGGCACCAGGCTAGAAACCGGGAGACTGTGAGTTCTAGTCCCACCCTAGGCATGAGGTGAGTTGGGCCAGTCACTCTCTCTCAGCCCAACTTACCTCACAGGGTTGTTGTGGGGAAAATAGGAGGAGGAAGGAGTATTGGGTATGTTCGCCACCTTGAGTTATGTATAAAAATAATAAAGGCGGGATCAAAAAAATCTAAAAAAAAAGTCTGCACTCCCCACATGCAGTCTCTGGAGCAAGTCACCCAATACAGTGATCAAGACTGTTTTCATTCCATGTTCAAGCCAAAAGCTAGACTGGAATGGATATACATAAACTTTGTCTAAAATAGTCTGGATTTTACAGGGCCTTGCTCAAGTATGGAATTCTGCAGAGAGAGCAATAATTACTTCAGTGTCAGATAATTTCCTCTCAATTAAGAAAATTATTATAGCTTCTTCCAAGGAAATATCCATCATTTCCAAGCTAGTAGTTCAGATCTAGCAAAGGAAATACCAAATAGCAAATGTAGACTTTAGTTCTCCAAACAGATTAACATCCTTAGATTAAATGCTTTTTTATTTGTTCAGCAGAACAGGATTAGGCAATTTTTTTGGCTCTCTATATCTCTGATTCCTGACAAAACTACAACATACCAGTTCACTGATCCAGGGGTGCTCCTTGGCACTGAGCAGTTCTGGGTGAACCAGAAAATGGCTTGGAAGACAAAGACTGTTTCACACCAACCACGGTTAAGAGCTCATGGCAATAAGAGCGGCAAAACATCAATATTTCTCCACTCTTACTGCATTCTCAGAATGCTGGCCAGCAGTCCTTTTTAAAGTCACCCAGACTTTATTAAGTAAGGATAGGCTGGAAGACCATCTGTTGGATTGCTGTGAGGAATTCTCTAGGTATCTGGTGAATAAAATCAGCTTGGAATTGGACCAAAACCATGTCTTGCCAGGCTTCCTGATATAAGTTTGAGTATGTCCTGAAAAAGTGGACAAAATTCTTTATAACATCAGCTTTGTCCTGTATGGTCTGTATTCCTTTCCTTCATGGTTGGTGAAAGCTCCAGAGAAGTGAGTCGGGGTGAGGTTGGGATGGTGGTAAAAGCATCCTTAAGAGAAATGCATTGAAAAATAAACATCTTATACAAATCTATGGTATGTTTGCATCTCTATACAGTTCTGGTTACATTTGAAAAATTAATATAATACAGCTGGAAAATACGCAGAAGAGGGCAACCAAAATGATCAAAGGATTCCAAAGGTCCCTACAAGAAAAGGCTAGAAATTGTGGGATTTGTGGAAAAATAGCAAATAAGGACAGACATGAATGAGATATATTAAACTATGCATGGTGTGAGAAAGTAGACATGGAGAATTTTTTTCCCCGAAATCCAGCTTGGTGTAATGGTTAAGGTGTTGAACTAGAAACTGGGAGACTATGCATTCTAGTACTCCCTTAGGCACAGAAGCCAGCCAGGTGACTTTAAGTCAGTCATTCTCTCTCAGCTCAACGCACCTCACAGGTTTGTTGTTGTGGGGAAGAAGAGGGAGCATTATGGATGCCATCTTGAATTGCACAAAATAAAGGCAGGATACAAATCTAATGAATAATAAGCACTAGGACTAGAAGTTGTCCAATGAAGCTAATTTAAAGATGTGGAACAGAAGAAATAAAGTACTGTATTAATAGGCATAGCTGTGAAATTCATTTCCTCAAGATGTATGATGGCCTCTAACTTGGACAGCTTTTAAGGAAGATTGGATGATTCAAGGAGGCCAACTCTATCAAAGCTATTAATCTTGAGCCAATGTTATCTCCAGGTTGGGGATAGCTTGCTTCCAAATATATGTTGCAAGGGAACAAGCAAGGAAATATATTCTTCCACCTCCTGCTTGGAGCAACTCAGCGGCATCTGGCTGGCCACTGCTGGAAACCAAATGCTGAACTAAGCTGGATCTTGCCTAACCCAACTCTCATATTCTAATCTGCCCTGATCCCTTCAAAAGTACTCTAAGAACAGCTTCAGAGCACTCTAGGAGGAGACTTTACTGCTTGTTAAAAAAAGTGCAGCTAAAAGTGCCTGCTCTTCTCTGCTATGTATATTTACTTTTTCAATGGATCTTAATCCAGGTATGATTTAGAAACTCTGAGCTTTAAAACAGAATAGAAAGCTGAGCAGTGCAGATTGCAGATATTACAAACCATTAAAGAAAATCAAGTGAATATTAGGGTTAAGGTTAATTAAGATACAGCCCAGGAATCCTGCAAGCGCGGAGAACTAACTAAATCTACAGGAAAAACTTCCCAGCAGAGTTGGTGAGGCAAGACGTGAATCGAGGCCTGAATCATACCCAGGCAGGCAGAATTCAGACTCTGCTATTGGACGGACCCAGGAGGAAAGGAAACTTCCTGCCTCACCCGTCCTATCGCCCAGCCGAGAACCTGATGGGACCCTGCCTGGACCCACTGTAAGCAAGGCCGAGCCGACTCCACCAGCCCAAGGAGCCAAAGAAAAGGCGGGTAGGGCTGCTCCGCCCGAGGGCTCACCCAGATCCTTTGCAGTAAGGCAGGTGGCCTGCCTCTCTCAAGACTACTTACGAATTTCCGCGGTTTGCCGCCGCCGCTGCCTCCTCCTCCACCTCCACCTGGCTCTCCTGCTACCGCAGCTACCGAAGACTCGTCAGCGCTCTTGCCCTTCTTCTTCTCTCGGCCGGCTCCGCGCGCGGACCCGGACCCGGCTCCGCTCCCGCCGCTCTCCATTGCGCTCGACTCGGCAAGGCCCGCGCCCGTAGACGATCCGACTTCAACTTCAGCGAGCAGAACCAGCAGCACAGCAGCGGCCAAAGCAGAAGGCGCCGCGCCACTTCGGACACCGGCGCCCGCAGCAGACTTGCTCACCAACGGTTGGCTCCACTGTAAACCGCTGCGCCGGCCCAGCGGAGCCGCTGCTTCCTTGTCGTTCGGAATGTACGGCACGCCCACTGTGTCGTCACCGCGCTCCACAAAGTAAGCTCCTCAAAAATGAGAAAGCGGGAAGCCGCCTATCTGTGGTTGAACAGGTACCGTTCTTATAGAGATACGTCACTAGAAACGTCGGCGATGAAACTTCCAAGTTCCCTTTATGCCAGGGATCGAAAATGAAGCTGCCTAATCAACGCAACCATTGGAAACCGATTTTTTTCATTCATTTTTTTTTTAGTTCATATGAAAAATATGCGTTTAAATCCCGTTTCAAAACCCTGTAAACAATTTTTGGTCCTTTTCCAGCAAAATCTCTCAAATAAATAACATTTTAGGTTGTAGCAGGAGTCAAACACTTCTTGCAGTCCAGCTGGAGAGTTCAATTGCGTTAAAAAGTCTTGGATCAATTGACTTGCATGCCAACATTATTCAGATTCAAAATATATTTCATAACAAGACACGATTTAAAAATGTAGGAGGGCCTAGTTTTCTGCTAGTTTTACCATGACCCGTTTGAGCTATGCTGAAATCCACGATTTCTGTATTGTTTTTACGCCAACAGAAGTCATTTACGCCTCCAAGTACTCATAGTGAAGCCGATGCGCAACACTTAAGTCTATGGCCACAATATGACTGAATGTTATAGATCTATAATATCTGTACACAATAGATTGTTTTCTCTATCTCCAAAAGTTATACAAATCCAAAACATTTCAGTATGTAAAGCATCGTTTCCTAATTTTGAATCTTGCTTGTCAAGTGCGAATAGCCAACATGAACAACATGCACTAGTCTGAGACTGTAATAACATGTAATAGGCATGCAGCAGAAAAGTTAGCTCTGTTAATTCAAGATGCTTTTTGTGTCAGAGGTGTTTTTGTTCATGTTTTTAAAATATTTTTAAAATGTCCAGTTTCAGTCTTACCTACTAATCCTGTGTTACAGTTTTGGATGGGTTGTGTTTACCTGAAAATGGATTATAAAAGTCCTAAATTTTCATTGAACACATTCCCATGTTGTGGAGAACAATATACTGCACTGAGCAGAACAAAAAATGAGACTTCAGTTTATGGTCATTCTGCAATTCCATTCAGCTTTAGGGATTCTAATAAATGACCACTGGCCTTTAGACTCCTACAGAGGTGGATTGTTAAATTGTGCTTCAAAACATCTGACAGAAGTTGTAGCATAGCAGGAATCCTCAGGTCTTTTAGATACTGAATTGCAACTTCCAGCATTCCTTCCCATTGACCATGCTGGGGAGGGTGGATTGGACTGACACTTGAAGAACCCCTGAAAACCTGCTCCCCAACTCCTCATCTGATAAAATATCCAGGAAATTCTGACCTTTTTTATGTCCAGGTGCTGCTATCTGATCAGAATGATTTAGTTTCCATGAATGTAGCTAAATTTTGTTATACTGTCTGCAAAATTAGGCAGATTTTGACTGCCAACTGATGATCCCACCAATCTGTAAATATATTATCATGTTCTGTTCATTTCATTTAATGTATTTTTAATGTATTTAATTGTATTTTTATTTGTAATTCTGGTCCATGACCATAATAAAGATGATGCTGAACCTGCTCCCCAGGGAAAAAATGTATTCCCTTGATTACAGAAGGGTATTTTTGCCCCAGTCACCTTTTTCACATATAAAATGGAAGGTCTAATGGCAGTGGAAATAAAGGAAATGAATGTCTCTTCTACATATTAATATACATCTTAACTCTAAAGTAACTCTACACATTTGGGGCTTTTCCTTGACTGCAGCCTTCAGCTGTTTATCTCCCAATACAGCTGAAAAGGAAGCTGGTTTAAGAAATCCCTTTCTGAATTTCAACCCATTCCTACATTTATTATAAGACACCTGTTATGCTTTCTGTAGTGCAAACAAGTACCACCAACTGTAGTGGTATAGAACTCCACAACCAAACTTGCACCACCCTAAATCATAAACCCCTACATCCAAATTGCCAGTCACCACACTGTTGCCCAAAAGTAGATCCTCTGCCCTTTTATGTAGATCCTCTACACACTTTTATGAACCCTAGAATTTTCATGTTGCATCTCCAAAATGGTGGCAGCTCCACAGACATCTGTAGCAATGTCTTGCCCATTTCCACTGGAAAACGAAACAAATAAGGATATATATTAAGTCTTCTGATGGGCTTAATGCTGTTTGGACTACAAAAAAACCTCCTGTCCTCCACAAGGAACATTTTCAGCCATGCCCAATTCATGACATGACGATGTCATTACACTACCCTTTCCAGTCTCTAAGTCTTTCCAAATGACAGCAAAATTAAATGCAAACTTAGTAGGGCTACTCACGTGTTCTACATGACCCTGAAATGCACCTGATTCACCCAATGTTTTCTTTGGATTCAGGGCAATGCCAACTCCTTATTTGCCCACATCATCATATCGAAGAAATTTACTTCAAAACTGTATATCTGAAAAGAAACTAAGGGGGGCTGGGGTCCTCCTTGATGGGAATGACTTAGATTCACTAAGAATATGCAATGGAAGCAGATTAATATTTTTCTCTCTTATCTTCCTTTTTTGGAAGAGGTATTTCTTAAATTCAAGCTTCTCCTTTTGGGAAAGTGCAGTATAAGTGCTCTTCAGTAAGCTTTGGGCGTTCTAATCTCTTAGAGGAAAATGTCTTCTATATAATGACTTTGGCTCATGGCAGGCCAAATGCTTTGTTTGGCCACAAGGCAGCATCTAAAAAGTAAATCCATATCATACCAGTAATTAACCAAAACATCTAAAAAAGAAATGCTTATTGACTCCATAACTGGTTACTGGACTTTCTAGTCTTTTTGCTGAAATGTCCTTAATGAAATGGCATACAATTATGTGCAGACCAATCTGTTGTTTAGATTCAAATCATATCTCCCAAATGCTGGTAATAACTAATAGACATAGAAATAAACAAGAAAGTGTTCATACACTCTTCATGAAGTCTCTTTTACCTAGGGAGCATAAACCATTTTTTGTCTGTGCCACATTGTGGACTTCAGAATAAAAGCATCAAACTTGCCACTTTTAAAGAAAATGCATAATACTGTTTTTCTAGTATGAATCCTCCTTCTTTTTGCTTCTTCATAATAAATTGCTCTGAAAGATTATTTTCAGAGGTAGCTTGTTGTAGTGGTTAAGGTACCAAGCTAGAAACCAGGAGACCCTGCATTCTAGTCCTGCTTAGGTACAAATCCAGCTAAGTGACTTGGGCTAGTCACTTTCTCTCTGTCTTAGGAAGAAGGCAATGCAAACCACTTCCAAAATCCTGCCAACAAAAATTACAGAGATTAGTCCAGGCAGTCGCCAGGAGTGAACACTGACTCAAAGGTACCAAAAAAAGAAATTATTTTAAGGTCCTAACAGAGAAGAGTGGCATTTATTTATTTCTTTATTGCATTTGTATATTGCCAGATCAACTACAGTACAGACTCTTGGCAGTTTACAATAAAACGTCCACCATAGAGAATAAAAAATTTTAAATGTGCAAGGTAAACATTTTTTAAAATGTGATTGTTAGGCACAATGTCATGTGATCACCATTTGCAACCTCTTGCTGGCTTCCCTATTGATTTACTTGTTGGAAGCTGGCAATAAAGGTCACAAATGGCGATCACATGACCATGGGACACTGTGACTGTCATAATTGTGAGCTGGCTGCCAAGTGCCCGAATTGTGATCATGTGACCATAGGGATGCTGTGACAGCCACAACTTTGAGGACCAGCTATAAGTCTCCTTGTTCAGTGCTTTGTAACTTTGAATGGTCGCTGAACAAATGGTCATTAACTGAGGAGTACCTTTAATAATAATTTAATAATGGTAATAATAGTAGGAAATCCTGTATTCTTATTTAAACATATACATCTCCAAGAGAGTTATGTGCAGTTTAAAAGACATTACATGCAAAGAGGTGGTTAAAAAAAACAAAGATACTCAGGCATTTATTTTTTCTGTTATAATTCTTTTAGCTATTAGGATTGTTCATTCTTCAAAAATAACATGAAAGAAGTGCTTTGGACCTCATGTGGGGTACAACATCTCCCTAATATTCATTAAAATTGCCTCTCTTTTTTCAGAATTTCTGTGCAAATCTGAAAAAATGTGACTGCTTTAAGAGTTACATTAACTGAATCAATACAGCTGTATTTTTTCGAAGCTTGCAGTGAAACCTGAAAAATAGAGTGCTTTAAGGAATAGCAGAAAGATGCTATGCTCATGCAAGGTCCAAAGCACTTCTGAATCATTTTTGAAGGGAGCAGAGCCCTAATAATTAGTTGGGAGATCAGGTAGCCTGATTGGGGTGATAATGGAAGATAGTCAAAAGTGCTGGACTTCGGGATCATCAACACAGACTGCTTCCCACAGTGCAAAACTGCCACACTTACCATGTCTTGAAGATATAGGGCCCATTGCTGAGGCAGAAGGAAGCCGGTCCAAAGTGTACCAGGATAAAAGTAATATTTTCCCAGCTACTGTGGCAGAAGACTTCCCATCTCAATAGCCCACTTCACATAGAGGAGGAGCCCCCAAGAGATCAGCAATCTGCTGGGCTCCACTTAGCCTGGCAGGACTGCTGTAAGACCAGCCCCTCATTTCCAGCCACTGGACTCTGGGAATCCGTGGTCAGTTGTGCTGGGGTTGCCAACAAAATTAAAGAGCCTTTTGGCATAGCTATTTTCTTCGTTTTGCACATGTAATTTGGTCAGGGAAATATCAATCTTATGAAAGACCCATTAGGTTTTCCACAAGGTTAATATTTCCATTGGTAATCAGAAAGCAGAAACCTGCCGAGCAACATTTTTTCCCAGTGGAGAGGCGTACATGCAGAGCATGTCTTACTTTTGGGCGTCACCCTGTTCATTGATTCTAGCTTTTATTTTTAAAATAATCAGATTTCTAACAATTATAATTAGCAATACATGAGATGCTGAAGCATCCAATTCTTTCTAGTAAAAGAAGGAAGGGAGGGAATTCATTTTTGGAGCAGATGCTTTCTAGA